GGCAAATTGCGACGTTGAGCGCGGAAAAAGCATGCCTGGATTGCTCACTCGCGACATTTCCAATCATCCAGTAGTACCGAGTATAGAATCAATAAGCATAGTTGAAGTGGAGCTTCAACTCAAAAATTATAGAGTAGTTTCCTTTTCACTCAAATGAGCATCTGCTGGGAGAGCAAAGAGGACCTCTTATGTTATTTACATAAAAAAGTCTCGTTCAGTTCATAAGTTTTGTTGGAAATGCTGGTCTCGTTATTAAATTTGTTCTATTTTCGCGCAAAACGAGACCAGCCGAGTTCTAGTAACTTCGTAATGATTGCTTTTTTACTGCCGAGCAAAAAACTCTTTGCAATAAAGTGTAATTTCGAATCCGCCGAGTGAATGCAAGCCAGCGACCGATGAGCAAAGTAAAAAAGTAAATAAGAAAAATCGCAGTTGGAAAAAGTTTGTCTGGGATGCCGGTCGGATTGCCTTCACAATGGGACCTAATGTGGCAGGAAATATGAAGAAGAAAGCTGCAGAAGTCTCATTTCAAACAATATTGCGAAGGTCTGGCCAAGTAGGCCAGATTTGCTTCAGCCACAAGTAATTACGAAGTGTAGAAGCACCATTAAAATTATCTGCAAGCAGATATTTGATATTACAAATTAGATAATCTTCCTTGGTTCATTTCAATATAATGTAAGAAAATAATAATTTTAATATCAAATATATTTTGGTATCAATTGAACATATCTGAGACGGACGTGAAACAATTTAAACCAGTATTCCTTTTATCAATTAAACTGACTCAGTAGGAATAAGCAATAGATTTCCTATATTCTCATTAAATCCACTTCAAATTTAATAAGTGATGTCAACGTATAATTGTGCTAATTGGGAATAAATTTAAACATGACTATAATTATTTTTCTTCTTCTGTGATGCATCAATAGGCATTAATTGTAGCCAAAAAAATTTAAAAAAAAATGTAAAGATTTAATATTTGTGGCTTGAGACTAATTTATTTTCTCTCCTTAACAAGAAATATCATAAACGTGTGAGCTGAGTTTGTTAGATACAATTAATTTATCTTCTATGAAATTTTGTAGTTTTTGTTACTAGCAAAATCTGTAACAAAATTTCAATTCTCCATTAATTTTAATTAATTTTTTAACTTCAAGGAAAGAGATTAAAGTGATTAAATCTTCCAAGCCGTACCTAATTAGGCCTGCCGCACAGAAATTTATGATTAATTTCCCAGCAGAAACAAAACTAATGTTGAGTTGCAAAAGAAGCGAGAATTGAAATCTGCAGTGCCATTAACAGCGGCGTTGCGAATCAGAGCGTGATAATCAAGCCGGGGGAGCGCACAGTACTTTGCACGGTATATATTTTTGCCCTCGTCACTAATCCCAGCACTTTCCCCGACCTGGCTGCCAGGCAATTTCCACCACTTAATTAAACATTCCGAAAGCGCCCCGCAGCGCAAATTGGCAAAAGTGCGGTGCAGCGGATTGAGCAGAAAAACTGCCAGGAATAAAAAAAAAAAATAGCAAAAGATTTATGCCAGCTCCGGAGGATTAATTTATTTCTGTCGTTAAAACGAAAAACGCAGAGGTGAGAGCAGTAAATATATGAATATTATTCCGTACCCAACGGGTCTTTTCTTGCACGACTTAATAGTTATGCAACTTGTGCAACGCAGATGTCGCAGCCGAGGCCGTTGACTTTGTTTCTACTCGTAATAACTGCTGCTAATTTCATTTGGCACACAATATTGCATAATTGCCGAGTGACCTGCATGCATTTCTATTAGCAAACTGCTGCAGTGTGTGTTTCGCTTCACGTTTTAATGGCGCCGCGCCACGGCAGCCTCGATTAACCAATTAACGTCTCAATTTGCCGGAAAGCTCTGCTTTGGTGTTGTGTGTTTGCAGCCAAATTATATAATACTGCCTCGTCGAATTAAATGCCGGCGTGGGATTATGCGCCATTTGTAATTGTCAAGAACATCAGTCGTTGTTTGTCAATTAAACCACCCTCGAGAGAATAATGATGTTTAATTGCAGAAGCCAAAATGGCGTTACAGTATATTAACTTCAGACTTCAGTTATTAGTTATAATTACAGTTTTGATGTTGAATGTAATTAACTAATTTATATTTAAATTATTTAAATAATAAAATTATTTTGTTTCAAAATCTATTTGAAGAGAAAAAGTTGATCATAAAAATGGAAACGAAGAACTCGGACTTTTCCTCACTTTGCGAAAATTGTTTTTACTGATAAAAATAAATGCCCTTACCAGCTTCGGTCACCGTATTTCAAGAAGAATAAAAATAATAAATCAGCAAAATTGTATTTTTATGTTAAAATGGTTTTTTTTTTTAATTTTGCTGATTTATTGTAAAAGACCATGACCAAAACTGATAAGGGCATTTATTTTTATTTTTTTCATAAAAACAATTTTAGCAACTAGGAAAAGCCCGATCTCTTCATTTCCATGATCATCTACTCGAGTGTCAATTTCTTCAAAGAAATAAAGATTCAACTAAAAAATATCCAAATTTTTTTCATATAATTTTGTTATTTTTTTAAAAGACTTCTAAAATACATTTTTTAATTACCATTTTTTAACTTTTTACGCCAAAACCGCGTCCAAATTGTGAAATTTGCAATCTTTACTGAACAGAATTTAAAATAATTACGATAATTCTGAATAAATATCGTCTAATTAATTTGCTCCTCTCCACAATTTCACAATTTACTCATAGATTATTTATTGTTTTTAACCAAGCCATGTGAAGAAAAATGTACATAAAAAAAATCAAAGAATTATTTTAAAACTGTCCTCGTTTTTGCTGCAGAACAAGAGGTACAGTAAAGAAATATTTCAATAATTTATACTGTATTTTTATGTTGCCCCGTATAAACCTGTGTCAAATAAAAATTGCTTGTAAAATATGTAAGAAATATTAAAATCAATGTTGCGACAGTATTGTTTTACAACGGCAGCACGAAATTGAATGGAAATCAAGTGGTGCATTGCACTTTTGTGTCGTCGTGATCAAATTGATATGGCACGCTCGCTTGCACGCCACACAAAGTGCATTTATATTTGTAATTTTTACTGCCACTGCTGCTCGCTGTGTCGTGAGTTTCAACCTGAAATATATACAGCAATATTACAAATTGGATTTATAGATTGTAAACAAATATCAAGTTATTTTCCGTCTGAAGGGAAAATAATACGATATGTGATTTCGTCTTTCTCCCTAATGCAGCAATTTTCTATCGTTTTTTTGCTTCGTACGAGTAATAAAAGCAGCAGCGCCGCCTTCCCGCCTTTAATATTGTTTCAAGACGCAGCTGTTGTTCTCTGTGCCGAGTACGAAACCCACGGCTGGGTGTCTTTTCGATATGCTCCCCAACGACGACGCAGTTTCAGTCAAAACAAACGAGCAGCTTTCCGTTATTTTAAATAATAATAATTCCGTATATGGAGTAATGCTGAAAGTCGCTTTCTCCGCACAGTGGAGGGAGGATAAGCCACTTTCCTGCACCCTCTCAAGAGGGGCGGTTATTAGCCAGGCAGAAGTAACTCAAATTTCAAAGACTTGAGTCTCGAATGCCTCCGAGATGATAACAGGGGAGCTCTGCTCTCTCTCATTCCATTGTGTGGCAAAGGAATTTATCATGAAAGAATCCCCACGGCTCTTCCTTTGATATAAAAATAATTTTATGCTGCACACGCGACTTCTTTCAGAAAGAGCGGCTTAATTAAATTTAATACTTTCGCACCCGGTGAAATTGCGGGAATTAAGATCTCAAAGGGGCGCAATCTCGAAACGGAAGTTGGAATTAAAATGAAAAACGGCAATTTCCTCCTCCGTTTCAAAAGCAAAAGATCTTTTTGATAAATATAAATAATTTTTGGGAAAGAGTTTCTTCTTCTTATCGAGACTTGTGCCTTATCTCGTTTACTTTCAATTTTCGCAGCACACCAGACGTGCCCGGCTGCTTTTATTTGCTCCTCTGCTTTGCATTTTTTTTTTCAAACCGGCTGCTGCTGCTGCTGCGTGTATTATTTACATCTCGTGCGCCTCTTCTTAAACTTTGATGAATAATTCGCGTGCATGCCGTGTGTTTGCAGAAGCTGTGAGAGCGGAAGTATTGAAGCTGTGTGTAATTTCAAGAGAGACAAACTCAGACGAGCACTTGAAACAGATGAAAAGAGAGACCAAGAGGAAGTGTTTTGCTCATTCCGGCGGGCTGCACGAAGCGCCGAGCAAAAGGATTCGCCTCTTTAAAATAAGCCCACACTCACTCGCAGCCTGCCAGTGGCGGGCGTGATTTTGCTACATTTAAACAAACTTTATTAGGGGCAAAGCTAAATTTAATTAAAAATTATATTATTAGAAGAAGTTATTTCATCCATGTTACAATTACTTCAATAAAAATAATATGCATTCATGAATAGTTAAAAATTGGTTTTGATCAGCAGGCTTTTCACAAACGACAACATTAGCAACAACACGTCTGACTTTCAATGTTTTTAATAATTCAGTTATTCCATATTTACAATGGAATTTGTTTGATGTGTTATTTATTATGTCCTTCTTGTATCATTTTCTAACTATATAATAAAAGCAAAACATGAACTTGAGCAAAGAGAAGTTTTTTCTAAATGTTCATAGTAAACTCTTTGATCGGCGGCAACAACAAATTTTGTTTCCATTAAATTAAATCATCTAATCTAGCCAAACGGTTCAAAAGAAGCTAAAAACTGCTAAAAGTAAGTCTTTTTTAACTTTTAAAAACTTCAATTTAGTATTAAATTATTTTTATGCTTTACAAAACAAAACAAAATCATCAAAAATTGGTTTAATACTGATTTTTGGCTACAGTCAGGGCGTCTCCAGTTTTTTTTTTTTTTTTAATGAAGAAACCCATGCATTTGTTCACCGCCCAAGTGCAGAAGGAGAGTAAATTTAGAATTTAAATTAAAAACAAACAACTGACCTTGTTGAAGGTCATGCACTGGCTGGTCTTGAGCAGGGTGATGATGGGGTTTGTTTTCCTGTCTTCAAAACGTTCCCTTTGATTTCTGCAGTTGTGCCTTGGAGGGTCGGTCGAAGATTTGTAGCGCCCTGGTCTTTGCCCGAAAGTGGACCATGGACATCCGCTCGCCCCGTCTTCCCCAACGCCGCCTCCAAGAGGATTTCTGTTCGGTCCTGCAGATGGAAAAATTCATCAGAAAATTTCAAAAAAAAAAATATGCAAATCCAGTTAATTATGGCAAAATTTAGGTGGTTAACATAAAAACCTAATTGCTTGTTTGGCGCAATGAGAACTAGAATTTAAAAATAAAATCAATGAAATGGATAAAAGGCATGGAAAATATACACACCCGAAAATGGTTCATGCAATTTAAAGGATTTTTTCCAGTCGAAATGCATGATGTGTTGGCCTCTCTGATATTTGGCATTTTGTTCCGGGGCAGCTTTTCTTCCTAAGAAATTAAAAAGAATGAAATTAGTAATCAGTAATACCGCGCTATAGCAAAAAAGAATGTTAATATATTTTATGTGTAATGAGCGTAATGACGAGCATGTTCGTGCCACGTGTTATGTATGTACATTAATTTTTTATATACATACCTTTTGGGAGATTCTCGTCGATTTTGGGAACGTATGAAGCCGAAACCCCGTCTTCAGCCCTGGTCTCAGGACCTCGAAAGGTCTTGAAGGCCGAAATCGGTCCGCAAACAATTCTTGGAGGAAAAAAGTCTTTCAATTCACAATCACAACATAAAACATAAACAAAAGCACGAACGACACGTGATTGACACGATGAATGATACGCCCCATTGGACTTGAGGCGGGTAATGCCAACAAAACAAATTTTCTTGTTTAAATTAATTCTGTAAAATATTTGATGTTTTTACTTTCCAGTGTCTTAAATGGTGAAAAATTGTTATCAAAAGTTTAAAATTAATCCATCTTGGAATTTAGTAGCGGCTAAGTTATAAATTTTATAGCGTTTTTTATTTGTTAAGTTGCCTGCATCTGCAAAAGGAATTTATCTGCCTGTGGTGCAACATCGGCGGGTTCATGCGAGTGCCGAAAACGTTTGGCCGAGCAAATGACAAGGTCACCACGATTTTCTCGCCGTTCCTTGATCAACCACAAGGTCAGTGATGCGATTTAATTTTATTTATGAAGTATCCGTTTCAGCTTTCCTTCCGTGGTTCTATTTGTTGTTTTCAGAATAGATAAAGTAATTAAAAGTTGAATATTCTATTCAAAGAAATTGTGCAAAGCAAGAGAATGGAATTTAAAATTTGAATTATAAAAAAAGATTATCCGAAACTTTATTCAATACAAACTACACAAATTATAGTTTCAAGAAATATTTATTTATTTTGCCATTGTTTTTTTAATTGTCCATTCAAATAATGAAAGGAAACTCTGAATTGTGAAATATTAGTAATAAATTTTTTTTTTAATTGCCAATATATTTGAAAATTAATTGAAATAAGAATGAAACCATTTTATCCTAACATTTTATTAAAAAAAAAAATACAGATTCAAGCATTTATTTTTTTTTCTTGTTAATTTGTAATTTAAATTTGAATGAAAACATTAGGTTTTTAAATAATTCAATACAGTTAATTTAATAATATATTTGTTCTTCAATTGATATATTAATTATTCCTACTTACTCATCTCAATTTTCGCACTCGGAGGTTTGCCACGTTTCCTCCGAGCTGGAAGAACTCGGCTTGTATGGTGAATGCCTGCGTTTAATTTTCGTGGCAAGGCAGGGTCTCGAGGGGGTTGGGGGCCCATGCGAGCACCGCCAAACCTGCTATAGGAAGTAGAAAGCCACCGAACAGGGGTCAAGATGGTTGGGAAAGCACAAAATATGTGTCAAGGGTGCTCGACTAGGGCAAGAGACCAACCCAATACACTAAATAAACGGGGCCATAAGCAAAAATTGTTCCTAATGTAATTTTTTTTTAATTATTTATTTTCTTTAAAAAAAAAGTGATTGAATATTAAAATTCTGTGAAAACAAATTTATATGAGAGAACCAAAAATCTAATCTGGCCCAGGAACTAAACCCCTCATGCAATTTTAATGGCAGGATAAGTCATGCTTTCTGACAAGATATAAAAAAAATTCAATTTAATTCAATTAATTTAATTTTTTTGCAAACAAGTTGGAGCAAAATCAATTGTGAAAAATTGATTACGAGAAAATTAGGCACACACGGTGTTAGTGAACAACTCTCTGAAACTCATAGCCGAATATTATACTCAATTGATTCTCCAATAATTGTATTTTTTTTTTAACTTTCCAACTCTTTAAATGGGCAAAATACGCCCCTGTTTGCGCAAATTGTTCTGGATAAAAAACTCGCAGCTGAGATTCACAAAGAGAGAAACCTGTGTGGATTTCTGCTCTTATGTTTTCCTTCTCCGGCTGGCGTCTCAAGTGGTCTGGACTGCAAAAAAGGTCATGTTATTAAGACAAGCCGGCAAAAAAACCGCCTGAGGAAAAAGGAAATTTGATACACACCGCGAGGGACTTGCTTTTCCTTTCTTTTCATTCGCTCTTATCCATAATAGTGAGTAGTTTTTTTTTTTTCAGACGGGGGACTTTGTGAGTATAAATCGGGATGTGTGGCGAGAGACATTATCATATTAGGATAAAGAGAGTGGAGGAGGAAAACTGCACGAGGGGGAAATATATTAGCAAAATATTAAACTTTATGAACGTTAGCGACTCTTTCTCTCGGTGGTGTTACGTGAAATAAGCTCGAGTTACAATATCATTTCCACCCTCGAGGTTATTTATTTTCCCAAGCTCTTAGTATTTTCTGCCAAATTCGCTCCCCAACGAGACGCAAATTGAAGGGTGATAATATACCCTTAACTGATAAATTCGAGACAAAGCTGAATTTCGGTCCCTTTCTCTGCCAATAAAAGTGAAAATAAATTGCGAGAGAAGAGAGAGAGCGAAATGGAGGCATTTGCCGCCGAAATATGCAATTTAAATGGAAAAACAGTCCCCGGACGGTCGGAAACGTGGAACACAAACACGCCAGTAGCGGTGCAAGGTACTCCCTGAAGAGAAATAAAAGCAAATTAACACGCAGAAAAAAATACAGCTCAGTAGAAAACGAGACGGACAAATATAAAAAACAACACAGCGCGAAAAAACGCAACAGAATAAGTAAGTAAACATAAATTTTTTTTATACACCTTCATTACTTATTTTCCAATGCTTATTAATAGACCGATGGAAATATCTCATATTTTCCAAAATAAGATGTTGATTTTTAGAATTATAGGCTTAAAATGTCCTACGTAAGCAAATGTATATAAAATTTTAGTCTATTTTTTTTATAGATGTACAGTAAAAACCAAAAACCCAAGAGGAATTTTGAAGCTTTATTATTACTTTTTTTTTACAAAAGACTGACATATTTTTTTTATCAGATTGACATGTTTTGTATCGATCCAATGCGAGAATGAACTTTGGTGCGGATTAAAATGTCCAATTTAAAAATCAGTCAGACAAGGAAAATTATAGCATTATGAAAAAAAAAACTAAAATCAAGAGCTGTTTTGTTCCATGATTATGATTAAAACTCTCGATGGTCATAATATATTATATTATGCTTTACACATGCATATATGATTTTTCAAGCAGGATTCATTGTGTGTGCAGTAATGAGGCTCTATGGCTCATTTTAATTGGCATTTGAAGCCTACACATTGTTGAATACTGGCAACTCTTCCGAGAAGTATCATGAAGGAAAATTGATTGGTCTGTGCATTTTTTTGCAGTACTTGTGCATGTTAATTAGAGGCAGCGGATCGGATTGCTGATTATCCATCCATTGTTGGAAATTCGATATCGCATAAAATTTTACGTTAAGTGCAGATGAGCTCGCGCGCGCGTGCCAGTGTGTTTATTACACCGGCGAGTGTGTAATGCATAATTCATGACGCTCCCCGCTCTTGAGTATTAATTTCTGCCGCTTATTATGGAAAAATGAGCCGCCGCGAGCAACAGCAGCACAAAGCGGGGATGAAAAATATGCGAGCATAATATATAAATTCTGTAATTTACGCAGCTCTCGTGTAAAATAAGCCGCGGTGATAAATATTACAACAACGCACTGCTCGAAATAAAAGTCGGAGAAGCGGAAAGGAAACCAAAGGGTCGTTGCTGGAAAACAACGACGCTGGTGGCCTATTTAGTGGTGGGTGTGGAACACGGAGGTAATTTTTTAATGAACTCACGAGGGTCAACGGATGGTATAATTTTCAATGCAAACTCCCAGAGTTAAATTTTGTTATGAAATATTAATCTGAATCACATATAGAGGTAAATAAATTTAAAACTACAATCAATAATTTTGTATTTTCTTATTTATTTTATTAGTTGTTTCTTAAAAATTGACAAAGCACATGAAACATATTTAAATAACATTGTAACCAATAAAATAAAATAGTCTCCACCAATACATAATATTTGTGACGGGGATTACTCTTGATTCAAATCTCTTAAGGCAGATGTAAAACTTAATTTTTTTTAATCTTTCATAGAAAATATATAATGCGTACAAAATTTAAACTTCATTGTAATTAATTCTAAGCACGACGGATACAATTTTAGGTTTGAAATGAACCTGTCGACAGTAAATCACCTTTGGGAAATCCAGTTGTCTTTTTTACGTTTTCTTTTTATTTCAGTGAGATTAAGAATAGTTTCACCTTGGATGTTAACTTATAATCTATCTAGAGTGTAAGTTAATTAGTTCCTGTTTAAAATAAATTTTCTAAAATGAGTAGAAGCAAAATTCTCCAATCGAAAATCCGCAAGTATTAAATAAATAAACACAAAAGACAAACTCACCCTTGCCAAATCCATGCAAGGGTGACGAAAATCGCGTGGAAATTTTACCATCTGGCCACGATTTGACGCGTTTAAAAATAATAAGCTCTGGCTGCCGCAATCGCTTTTTTTCATTTAAATGTTCCCCATTCATCCCTTCCTATATCAAATCCCCGGGCACTCGAGTGGTGGCGTCGATTTGCATTATTTGACGTTTGAAATAAAAAACAACGCATCTCAAAGGGCCTCTGTGACGCCGCGGGATCCATTCAACAGTGGATAATTGCACAAAGAGAGCGGCCGGGGTGCGCGCCGCCGAGTTCACCCCTAATAAGGGGGTGACACACATAAAGTGCGAGGTAAAAAGGGAGGAGAGATGTACGCACATCTTGATACACACGCACCCGTGGCGGTGTTGTTATTAATATTTAATCTCCCCGGCGGTCCCTAGACGCGGCTCCTCTCTCTCGAGATAACGCCACATGCCTCTTTTGGGGGTGAATCAAAAATCAGCGGAGCAATGCCGAGGGTGGCGCGTCGCATCATTGAGTGCTCTTCTTTGATATGTTTAAAAAGGGCAGGGTGACACATTTTGAGAGGATGTGTTTCATGAAAATCTATGCTGGTCGTAAATTATCATATAATTGTAGTCTTTCGTAAATTTTGATGTAAGTTGTTTGAAAAAATGAAACCAATGTTGAAAGATTAGTGTGGCGTATATGAAAAAATTATTTGATTTCAAGAGTTGATTTAATTTTATTTAATAATTATCAGGCCAATACTTGAAAATCCAATCATTTTGGTATTGTAGATGAATAAATGAATATTTATTTTACTTCAAATATTTTGAAATATTTTAGTTTTTAAAACTTTTAAAAGTCATATATATATGCAACAAATAGCTCAAATTTACAATTTGGTCTGATCTTAACT